TTAGACGGTTCGTTTAACTTAACTATTATACGTGATGTACTTTTTTGGGGGGGGGGGTAATGAAAGTGTTCCAAAACGCGACATTAATTTCTTGACAACCTAATATATATAAATATGTTTAACACGTTTTTTTTAAACAAATCTTAAGTGAAACTTATCATAGAATAGTTAATCCTTTCACAGACATCAGTCCAGGTTACTCTTGGTGCATTTTGAAAACCAGATGCCAAAATACTATTATAAAGAAGAATTCCATATACCAGCTATATTGTCCATTTGGTTACATATGTATATATACTGATGATAAGAATTCAAACACTACAATATAATGGCAATGAGTTATTCTTGTAAAGAGGGGATCAATTATTTTGGAGTATAAAATATATAGATAATAGAAATGAAATTTAGGTAAAAGCAACTATAAATTATTTTGTCTGCGGTGTACTTCTTTTTCTTTATTGAAGTTACCATCAAGATCTGTGTACACATGCAATGCAACTATCATTGAATTCTCTATTAATGCCTGTATAGACATGCACTGTAACTAACGGTTAGTTACAGTGCATGTCTATACAGGCATTAGTAGAGAATTCAATCATTGGATTCTCTATTAATGGCTGCATAGACAAAAAGTGCAACTATCATTGAATTCTCTACTAATGCCTGTATAAACATGCACTGTAACTATCATTGAATTCTCTATTAGTGCCTCTATAGACATGCACTGTAACTATCATTAATTTCTCTGTTAATACCTATATAGACAGTGTGATTTTAAGATGTTTGGTCTGTTTTTTATATTCATACATCTTGTGATGTTTTGTAAATTTTTGAGGTTCTGTTCTCAAGAGTTACATTATTTATATTATTTACCATTATACAGTAAGACTGCTTGACATACAAAATTAATGTGTTTATTAGGATGCAGCAGTTAATATAGTTCGTACTCAACCTTGAGTGTTAGACGAGGTGAGTATTAGATAAACTAAAGGGCAGTGTTGTAGGTGCAAGAGTGCAGTTATACATTGACCTTATGTACATTATGTATTCTTATTGTGTGAATGTTATACAGTTTATTGCATTTAAATATATGTTGGACTTCTATTTTACAATTTAAGCAATGAAAGTAGTAGATATTAATTATGTAATATATAACTCAGAGTTTTATTTCAGTGCTTCTGTTTTAATTCATTTTAAGTGTAACTTTTTACCATTACATAACATTATTATGCAATTAAAACATGTGGTAACATTAGATTAAAACCTCACTATGGAGAACTAACACCTGGTTTATAAAAGAAACTGTTTAAAGGATAGATTTGATAGTTAGCCTTTTAATTAGTGGAATTTGTGTGTTTGTGTGCACAAACATGTTTAGTATTAATTTTTACCATAGATAATTATTTGTAATAATTCAAATTTTTATTGCTTTCTTCTGCAGGAAATTGCAGCCATTTTAATCAGTTTTGAGAAACATGAGGATTGGTTGTCTAAAGAGGTGAAAATCAGGTATAATGTTTTATAAGTTTATAATTGATTTCTGTCTTCTAGAAATAAAGATAATAAGAACCAATTAAGGATAACACTTCACTGTTCTCTTTTGCTAGAAGACTCCTATTGGGTTGTATAATGTACATATACTTGAACCTTCGTAATGTTTATTAGCTGTATTAAAATCATAACTAGCATAAAAGTTGTTTGTTTAATATTTACAGAAAGTATGACTTTCCTATAATCAACAGTCTGATTACATGTAAATTTCATGTAGATAGTTATTCAGTAAGAAACATGCTGCTACTGAAGGGTTTTATTATCCCTTATATGTACATGTACATCTGCTTAGTAGTTTCATTTCTTTATCATGGGCTTATTCTTCTCTTGTTTAAACACTAATGCCTATACACACATAGACACTTCTGTACATTTGAATAAGCTGAGAGGCACATATAGATTGTTCTGCTGTATAAATAAATCTTTTGAAATGCTGTTGATTACATTCAGTGAAAAATAAATGAAGTGAGAACTTAAGCTAACTTCAAGTTATGAATAGTTATTGTTTTGTTGCTCAAGTATAACATATTGTGATTACTTAGAAGTCAAAACAGTTTCTTGAAAGCTTTTAGTGTACTTACTTGCAGTAGAAAAGAAGAGAATAGTCTTCCTATTTACACACATTATAGTGGAAGCTACCAAAGTGAAAAGCATTACCTTGAATAACATAGTTCTTTACTTTCAGTTATGCAAATCATTTAACTGATATACAAAAAAGTATTAAAAGCATTATCCTCAATTTGTAAAATCAACATTGTGAAAGGTACATTTTACTTTGTGTGTTTTTTAACCTCATATTTTTTTTTATATTTCAGTTAGTTTTAGTGTAACAGATCTTTTCATATGAGTGATTTTTCAGTTGAATACATAATTTCAGTCTAATTAGAAAGCTGTGAAATATTTTTTAACAATACATCTGTTCCATTTAATTGTATCACAGTCCATAGAAAACTGAACTATTTGTTTTATCACTCTAAAGGACATTTTATTTAATCATATGTTAATAACAAGAAGCATGTGATTTTTTTTCTTACTCCACAGGCCTAAAAGTGGCTCCATGTTGTTATACAGTAGAAAACGGGTACGCTATCGGAGGGATGGTTACTGTTGGAAGAAACGCAAAGATGGAAAAACAACAAGAGAAGACCATATGAAACTAAAAGTTCAAGGAACAGAGGTGTGTTCATGGATAGCTTGGTTTTTGCAGGGTGTAGATGTTTGAAATTTTAAGTTTCAGAGAACAAATTCAACCATTTAGCAGCTATTTGATTAAAATCAGATAATAGTAGACATTAAAACTTAAACTAGAGATGGAGAAATGTAATAACCGATTGTCTATCATAAACTCTTAACAAGTGGCAAACTGAAATAATTATCTTTACAGCCAGCTGATACACATGTTTGTCCAATATCTTTGGCTACAACAAAAACATTAAGTAGGTAGTAACATGGAAACAGACACGTGATGATAAAACATGGTCTTTTAACCTTCTATTTATAGACAGGTTTTGGATTTTAATCTAGAAGGTGATTCTCGAAGGAGCCAAAATTGAAAAACAATCAATATATTTTCATTAAACAAAAACTTAAATTTCTTCACACAAGAAGCCTAGTCATCAAGATGATTACTTTTTTATTACCCTATTTTATTACCAATTCCAGGCACTTATTAAATAGGTTTTGATAGAAATTCACCAGGAATATAAAAAAGTATTAATTTGATATCTTTGGAATGAAACATAACTATTAATTACACCAAAGTGAGATGAAGATAAGTATATTAGAATCTTGTTTATTACAACTTTCATAACTCACTTTTGTTTTAGAACAGAGTTGGATTTTTCCCCTAAGTTATTTAATTTATTTGAATTTAACTATCATATATGTTTCTGTAGTTTGAGAAAATAACATAATGAACAATTATAAAAAGGAGAAATTATTAAATATCTCTCAAACTTTTGCATCTGACGATGTTTTTTTTTTATTTTTTACTTACTGGACAGAATTATCAGATAAAGCAAATTGAAGGGTAGTATAATTTACAAACTCTGACTTGGCAGTTACTTCAAAGAGTTAAACATTTACTACTTGAATACTTCTTAAAAGTTAAAATGTCTTCATAAAGCCAGTTTATATATATATATATATATGTATATATAGGTCCATGTGTAAGTCTGTGATGTCTATACATATTAATTCAATTTTCAGGATATCATCTCCTGGAAGTTTTGTGTGAAGCAGCTGCAAATACAAATAGAAACAGGTTATTTTAACTTATCCAACTAAACATTTAAGGCTATAAAACTACCAATCACTGTCACTAAAAATTATATTGCAGTGTTCATTATGATTAATATATCTTTCAGCAGCAAAGTTCTTTGTTTAAAGCAGGAAACACATTTGTTCCCTTGGTGGCTCAATGGTAAGTTTCAGGGCTTATAATGCTGAAAATTGGGGTTTGATCCCTGTAGCAGATGCAGTACAAATATCCAACATATTGTACAGCTTTTAGCTAAAATTAACCTAGTGAGGAAAAATTTCTAAAGATCCGAAGGATAAGTGTAAGTATTTTATGGATTGAGTAAACAGGTTGTTATATCAAGCTGCATTTTGTTTATTTTTGATGACTTTAACTCACTATTAACTAGATATTTTTAACTCACATCGGTTTACTATATAATTGTATCATTCATTTTATGTCACTGAAATCCCAAAGCAGAATCCTAAGTAGAACTATTAATTTTTTTAAGCATAACATAAGTAAAAAAATCTATCTAGCAGTTTTAACATAAAAACTACTTTAATTTTGACAAACTTATTTCATATGTGGTTATTTCAAAACTATATTTATCACTTTTGTTTTCTTATCATGTGACTTATATGTGTGGTTGTTATACTTATGCTTGTTTCTTATGAAGTAAAGATGTGATTTTAAAGATATTGTGCTTATAACTGTAGTTGAGTAACTTGTGATTTAATATCTCATTCTTCATAAGATCATATTTTTAAACTCAAAACATAGCTATTTAAATAAGCTTTTTTTTTCAGAGTAAAACATTTCTTATTTTAGTTATCTTTATTCTCAAGATCAACTATTTTTTTCCCAGTGTATTTATGGATGTTATGTGCACTCTGCAATCCTTCCAACTTTTCATCGTCGCTGTTATTGGCTTCTCCAGGTTTGTTAAAAAGCAAAGATTAATTTCTTTGAGTTGATTATTATAGTGTTTATATTTGTCAGTTTTTTGTATCCAGTAATAAAATAAACTATTTCAAGTAAATGTTTGAAAAGGTCTTCACCCTATTTGATATAAAAATATACAGGTATCATTGGTATAAGATAACTTCATTGTTTTCTTTGTAATAAAACACAACAATAACCTAAAGCAGTATACTCAGAACAAAATAACTTCATTGTTGTTTTTTTTTATAATAAAAGTCAACAGTAAACTAAAACAGTATATTCAGAATAAAATAACTTAAACTGAACATTTTTATCATAAAGATATTATATTGAATATATTTTGAATAATTTTCTTACTATAATTTCAACCTAATAATCATGCAAATATGATACAGTTTCCACTGTTAAGTAATCTTACGCTTAACTAGAATGCTTTAAAATGTGAAACTAAGCATTTGTGGTTGTAATAATAGTTCTAATTTAGCTCTAGAAAATTATAAAGTATATATATATTTGCATAATAAGATGTCTATTACATGTTCTCCTTAAGAAAATAATGAGCAGTAAATCATTGTTTACCCAGCACATATACAATAGCCATCTTTTATCAACTTGTTAGAAGCTACTTGGTTTATTTGCTTTTCTCAAATCTGTTTAATGTAATTTGCAGTCATTTTTTATTTTGTTGGAGAAAACTTGTAAATTTAACCATTATTCATACTGCTATGTTATATAAACGATTGTTGTCATGAGTTTTTGTAACATTAACATGTTTGAATTGAATGCAGAGTAAAATTGTTCAAAATACATAATAGTTTGATATAAGAAATATTGATTATTACTTTAAGTTTAAATGTGTCAATTAGCAGTGCATTTTCTGTTCTCTGAAGTTGAATATAAAGATAAGCACAATATTGGCATTTCCAATGCATAAAATATAATGCAAAATCCTTCTTTTGTTTTAGAATCCTGACATTGTGCCATTCAGATAATGAACAATCCCCTATGGTGATGACAACAAAATCCTTCTTTTGTTTCAGAATCCTGACATTGTGCTTGTTCATTATCTGAATGTCCCCTATAGTGATGACAACAAAATCCTCATTTCTCCCAGTCTCAGCTACTGTGCTGATAAAAAAGAATGGACAAAGGAGGAGCTAGTTTCCCAGCTAAAACCCATGTGTAAGTAATAAGAGTAACTTTTTGTAAGTTTTCAGTGAGGGAAAAAATCATTAAAAAAATGTGTTTTCACTTTTAGTAAGGAAAAATAGCTAATTTTCTAGCATGAGTATGTGTAATCCAAGCATCTTATTAAGCTTTGAATATTTAAAAGTCTACCACAAAAATATATGTTTTTTTTTATCCTGTTTATAAATCCTTGTTTGTTTATTATGTGTGAATACCCATTATTTGCATGTATATGTTGTTTTAATTTATTGCTTGAAGCTTTGAGATTCATTTTATAGCCATATACATTATGATATTTATGTAGGTCAATTAGTTCAATGGCCGAACTGGTAGTAATGTACTCTTCTTCTCAATGAATATCTGAACAAATTCATTGTAGATATTTTAAAATGTCAAAGATTTATAATAGTTTCAAACTAGGTGAATTCACATTCTTAAACCTAACATCCAGTCCAGGCACATATTGTACAAAAGCTACAACCTCTGGATCGAGTACGACGAGGACTTCAGTAAATTTGGAATCAGAGTAATGGGATGCTGTGCACATGTTGCATTTCTTTTGTGGTACCTTGGACATGCAAGAAACAACAGCAAGACTGTTGATGCTCCATCTCAAGGTCTAATATGTAACATATCACTGATGCCTCCTCTATCTGAAGTAGTTGTGACTCTGACTCTGCTTAATGTGTTCAAAATATGTTAACAACCTTGTATTTAAATGTATACACAAGGTATCAAAGCTAAAAAAATAAATATGTATTAGTTATTTGTTTTTGTAATAATTCCTCCTTTGATGTCATAATGTCTGTCTGATAGACTTCACTGTATCAATATGGTTATTTGTACAGTCTTGCAATATACATGTGTGACTTTAAGTTTTTCAGATGTCTGTAGAGTAACCTTAAAATAAATACTGCAGTTAGCTAACATATAATGACAAATTGATATCCAGACTCTTTCATTGAAATTAGAGATGGGGCCAGATTCCAATCTTATAGGCAACCTTCCTTTTTGTTTCCTGTTTTAACAGTTAGTTTTCCACATCATCTGGTTGTGGCAAGCAACATTCAACAAGTAGGAGAATTGGGGTTACACTTTTAATATATAAAGTTATAGTTTTGTAAATAAAGCTGTAATAAAATAAAATCTGTCTGTTATTTTGTTTGATGTATATAACCAATTATGTATATGCAACAATATTTGAAGTATTTGCACATCTTGATATTTAAATCTACTAAGTTTGTTGTTTCTATTTTATATTGAAATCTGGGCTTGAAAATTCATCATTGTGGTAATAACAGTTATTTTAGCAACTGTACTCAGTCATCTGTCATAAATTACTTAATTTTTAAGTACGAATATGACAAGATTACTTTTACTTGCTAGTATAAGGTAAGTGAACATGGTTATAGTACAGTTTCAAGTAAATTTATGAATTTAAAGAATTTGATTAGTATATTACATTGTCGTAAAAAATGTGCTACATTTCCTTGCACAGTTTTGCAATGCTTAAAACTAAACCTTCACACCAAGTGTGGATTTCTGAACATTTTTATGCTAGTACTTGATACACCTGAAGGACAATATGTGCATTACACCCACCCACATCCCCATAGGTTTGAAGCTGTTTTATAATTTCACAGCTTAGTAAAAATTATTCTGTAGAACTATGTTTAATTTTGGTGTAATGGACATAGGGTATATGTCAGTATCTATTTATGTAACCAAAACTCCTGCACCATCTATTGAATGGCACCACAAGCAAAAATCCATAAACAATTTTACACTTTGGGTATTCAAGATTCAGACAATTAGAAAAATAACTTTGGTACATGCAACAACCATTTCTTTTTAATAGAACACAACTTTCACTAGGATTGTACATAAGGGTTTGATATATGAGGGTTTGATTTTATCTTTATTGATTAATTTTTAAATAGAGTACTGAGGAACTATAGTTTTTTAAAAAAACTATTATTTGTTCAATAAACAGTACCACTTTTAATATATAAAAACACAACAGTTTATATCAGTAAAATGTATGAAAACTTTTAGCTCTGTACATTGAATCATTTTGATGCAATGTGTTGCGTATGACTAAAGAGCACAATCTGAACACTTTTCCCATGCAATACTTCTCAGAAAAAAATCCTTTTTAGAAAATGTTCACTTTTTCTATTTTTTTTTCAATGAGGTATGAATACTACAATTAGTAATTACTAGCACAAACTGCTGCCTGTAGGGTGGAGTTTCTGCTAGTATCAATAATTTACCACAGTAAATTTTATCCCAGCACTTATTACCACCTTCCAAATCATTTTGAGTACTGCACACTGCTGAGAACCTGCTGAAATTCACTCTTGCTTCATAACAAGTGTAGCCAAATCACTGTTTTGATAATTGATTTGGTAAACTGTAACTGTCTATTCTCTCATGAATAAAATCTAGATGAGATCAGTTTGTTTTTTTAGCTTGGAATATTTTATGTTTGAACTTATTAAATTTCAGGACTATACCTAAGTGACAAGTTCCACAAATCATCTCATTCATGTTGCTTGTATAGAATATGATATATGCTTCTTATTCACACCTAACCAATAATATAATATTCATATAATAGAAATTTCAGTTTTACAGCAACACCGCTTATATCTGTTATTTACACTTTCTGCTCTGTATTGTTATTTTCAAACTTAATGCCCCCCAGTGGCACAGCGGTATATCTGCGGACTTACAACACTAGAATCCAGGTTTCGATACCCGTGGTGGGCAGAGCACAGATAGCCCATTGTGTAGCTTTGTGCTTAATTACAAACAAACAAATCAAACTTAATTGTGGGCAACATCAGAAATATTCAAGGCTGTTATTCTGCATGAAATTAATAACTTCTGAAAAATTAGCACAGTTAGAATTACTTTTATAAGTTCATAACTTTAGAAACTGACGCATTGAAATTATGTACTTCAGTGGGGCCATGCTATCACGAATGGCTTGTTTAAACAGAGTGGTAGTAAATTATGGAAAAGTTACTGTTATATTTAATGTAAATAGCCTTTCTTCATTTGCTGATACCAAACTACTAATATAAAATATGCTTGGAAAAACTAATATTTATTCCCTTAAGAGTTAGTCAGGATGTTATTACAATCTTCAAGGGAACTTATTGTAGTCAGTTTAATTTTATGATGCTCTGTGATGAAATATGCACATCCATAGAAACTTAATAACTTGGAAATTTAGCATTCAGATAGTTAAGAAGTTTTCTAACTTGAACATATAACATATGGAATTTTTTAACCCCTATGTTGCTTTGAAACAGAAATGTTTAACTTTTATTATGTTTGTACATTATATTATGTAAACTATTATATCTATTATTAATTTGAAAACATGTTAAAAAATTAACTTATTTGAATGACTGGATACAGAAATATATAGTAATGATTTTATGCATTACTATAGGTGAAATATTTTTTTTCTTATTCTTTCCAGTTTATAGTGAGAATGAACCAGATTTAAATAATGAATTAGAAATTTCAGTAAGTATCACATTTTCTATATTATGATTAAAGCTGCTAATAAAATGTTGCAATTAGTGAAAAATCCTTGCATTGTATATATTTACCCTGAAGGCTCATTTTTATTAATCCTGTAAAATAATTGTTCACTGTCATTATATTACCATATATTAAAATTTTATATAATAAATACTTGCTCTTACAGTATGGTAAAGTGGTTGATTAGTAAATTGTGCCTTATGTTATTTTGTCTTCACAATGGCAATGTTTTTCTATGTTTGAATAGTTTGAATATAAAAATGCTGTATACTTATTATTACATATTTCTCTTTATATCATTCATAAGTTCATAGAATTACTAATAACACTGTGGTTGCATGACCTACTTCAGGAACAAGAAGGCTAGCTTGGAATTTCATTAGTACTTCTGAATGATACCAAGGTTAATTCAAGTAATAAAAAATAATAATAATAATAAATAACTGGTGTTTAAAAATAAATAAATAATATTGTGTTATTTGTCATTATCCTAATTGTGAATCATAAATGACATAAATAAAAATTGATAATAATTACAATTCATTTACATAACCTGATTCTTCACACCATAACAAAACTTATCAAGTGTTATTTTTTTATACTTGAATATTTGTTCTCTTAAAAGGACTAGATTTTAGATATATAAGATCATTCAGCAGTGTGTATACTGCATGAATTTGAAATGGTATGTATGAAAACTAGTCATCTCTTCTAATAAAAAGTTATTATGCTAACATATAAAATAAAGCACAGCTCAAAAACAAAGCATCTAATTATAGGTATCACTGTTAGTCATACAGCTGTATTTCTTTTTAAAAAATCTAACAAATGAGTATTGGTTGGAATTTAATTTTGTATAATGTCTTCCTTTTCCTAATGAAGCAAACAGCAGAAACTGTGGAAGCCATTGTCCAACAGCTTATGGAGAAGCAGCGAGCCAAGATGGCTGTCCGAACACATGAATGTGTGTGTGACACAACAACTCCATCCAAGTCACCTGTTCCTACAGGGTCAGTATCAGGAGGAAGTAAAAAATGTAGTCATACTTTACATCGGATTATCTCACCCAAGACCCAGGCTGCAGCAGCAGCTGCTGCATCTAGCATTGGTACTGTGGCTGCTACTGTAGCTTCAACAACATCAGTTCAGACTTCTATTTCTCAAACAATTAGTCAGAAAACAGTAACCAATATCATTCAATCTACAACAACAGTTAGTAGTTCTACAACTTCTCAGCGATCAAGTGGGGTGATCTTGGCCATGCCTTGCAGATCTCTCGTACAGGATGGCTCTTCTCGAGAAGCCAATCTCCCTGTAGCTTCAGGTGTCAACAGTACTACCACATCTCTGATTTTAAACCTTTCTCAGCTTCAGGGAGGTGGAGGTCTGTTGATTTTGAACAGTGCAGCAGCAGGTATGGGGTTGAACTCAACTTCCTTGACTCCTGTGACACTGCTGTGTGGACAGAATGCGGGTACTGCTTTTCTTACCACAACAACTGCTACTGCTCAGAACTCAAACTCCATGGAAACCTCAGACTCTTCATCAACATCAACTCCTAAACACATAAACTTAGGTATGAAACATAATTCTGTCAAATTGGACAACTCCTTAAAGAGTGAAGAGATGGACTTTGGATCAAATGTTTCTATTCAGAAAGACCCAAATCTAAGTCGGGCTATTCATGATTTTACCCTTGATCCTGAAGGAAGCCTAACTCTGCTACAAGATCTTCAAAAAGAATCATCTTCAAATCTACTTTCCAGTTCTCCACCATTAATCAGTGCAGATTCCTCTCCAGTTTTAATTAAAACTGAACCTATTAACCAATCAGACATGGTAGTGGACTTAAATCCCATGGACTTTATTGATAATGATCTTTCAACCCCTGATGATGAGGTCTTTAATCTTGATACGTTTGACATGCTTACTGACTTACCAAACCTAGATGACCTTCATTCTGACCTGGTGTCCAGTAGTGGTTTATGTGGACATAGTAGCACCTCTTCTGGTACAAATCTTCTTGCAGTTTCTGTATCTAAAAGTCATCACCATGGTTCTCAAGATTACCAACACACATCACAGCACATCACTGATTATTGTCCTCATTGGTCTTATACAGAAGTAAGTGCATAATAAATTGCATTGTTTACGGATTGTAAAATCTTGCAAACTGCATGTGGGTTTCCTAGCTTATGGTCATTTACTGATCTTGGGTTTTAGCTAAATTTGCAGTACAACTCAAGCTCTTTATAGAGATAAAATTGCACTTGTGTAGGTTACTGTAGCATCCTTAGATATAGCTCTTGTTTGGTTTATTGTAACATTCTTAAAAAATCTCATAGCATTTGTGAAGGTTACCAAACATTCCTTAGAGAAAGGACATAGTACTTACTTAGTTTACCGTTGAAAGTATGGCTGAATAATATCCTTGCCAGAATATCATAACAAAGTAGAAAATGGCTATCTTTGTGAAATGATCATTAAAAGCCAAATATATCCAATATTAGATCAAGGTTTCAGTACCAATGCAAATCAAACTATTGTACATTTGAATAAAAGCAGTGTTATATGTGCTACTTCACTTGCGCAATAGTGTTTTCCTTTTGACTGCTTCTTAACATTTTTAGAGCTTCTTAGTTGTCAAATAAGTTAGTTTTTTCTTGCTACTGTTGTTAGCTCACTCCATTACAAGAGTTATATTCCTTCCTGGTGTTAATAGTAGTGGAAGCATTATAAAACTAAAAGAGCATTTAAAATAACTTGAAGTTGAATAATTGCTTTTAAGAGTTCTTGGAATATGTTCAACACCTTTTCTGCTGTAGCACTTTATTAGATGTTTATTGTGGGTGTTTGTAAATTAAATGCCTTTATTGTAGTATTATTAGTCACCAATAATTTGTCTTTATTTGTTATCCATTACTTACATTATAGCAAAAAAAAAGAAAGAAAGCATCTTATGAAATATATAAATATTTTTTATTATGCATTGTTTATTTCCAAAAGGGTGGAGTGAAGGTGTTGATCACAGGACCATGGGATTCAGCTAGTTCTGTGTATACAGCTTTGTTTGATGGAGTCAGTGTCCCCACAACATTGGTACAGAATGGTGTACTACGCTGCTTTTGCCCTGGTAATAAGATACGTATAACTCAATCTTATCAGCTCCATTTTCTAGAGATTGTTTCAAATTAAAAATCTCATTTCATTAGTTCTTAAACTAGTTGTGCTAATGAAACATGGGTTAAACAGTTTGTTTATGAATATAAAAGTGTATATATGTTTTATTTAATTGTTTAGAATTTTCACTAATTCAGAACATTCAGTATCTTAACTTTAGATCAGATTGTGTTGTGTACTTAACATTAAAGTTTCCAATATTAATCAAGAAGTAATATCAGTTAGAAGAATTTCACTCTTTAACATTCTTCACTACACCTATAGATTGGTCAATATTTTAGTGACAAGACCTCTTCAAAATGCAGTTTGTTTTTCATTTAAAAAATAAAGCTATTTAAAAAAAGTTTTTTTATAAAAATGCATGATGTTCATATTAAATAAGCTAATATGTGTGCATTAATTAATATTATTACATTGAATAATTACCTCTTATCTAGCTCATGAAGCTGGATTAGTGACTTTACAAGTAGCCTGTCAAGGGTTTGTAGTTTCCAACTCGGTGACATTTGAATATCATAAGAGAAGTATGATGTATGTCATCAATGAACAGGACTGGTTTTTTGTAGATGGCAAGTATTTTCCTACCTTTGTAATTTTTGCTTTAAAACTGCTATGATCTCATTACCATTAAATATGTGGACGTATGGTGTCTGATTATGCCTAATTATGAGATAGATAGCTTCCTGCTTTTGGTTATGATTATATATATATCTCTTCCATTCGTAACAGCACTTGAACATTCCTCTATCCATGTTCATGGCCTTTTATTCAGTGTTAATACAGAAATAATGTTTAATTAAATAGTTTTTTAGCTTCTTTAGATATTGAAACAGATTCTAATAAATAAGTGTAATTATATGTTAGGAGCAGTACTTAACATAGCTCATGAAATATTTAAATTACTAATGAATCCTTAATGCTTCTTTTGATGCATTCATTTTTTAAAGGTCACTCTGAGGTCAAGCTATTTATGTATTAACTTGTTTTATACTTTAACTAGAGAATCCCCCCTATGGTGGCTTAGTGGCAATTTTGAGGACATATAATACTAAAATTTGTGGATTGATCCCTGCAGTAAGCATAGTGCAGGTATCCCATTGTGCACTTTTGTGCTTAAACTAACCTAAGGAATCTATTTTCAGTGTACTATTTTAATTAGTAACTTCAATGAAAACAAACATGTATGCATTCAGCATGTGATTGAAAGGTTAATTCAAGGTTAAATAATTATTTAATTGTGATAATCAGAAAAAGTCTTATTGTATTAAACTCAATGCTATCAGTAAATTTCTAATCTTAGTTGCTTTTCATTGGAAAATTATTTTTATTTATTTTTATGTTAACTACGAAACTTCCTTGAAAGTTTTATTGGAGAAATATAAATATAAAATTATGAGAAATTAATTACTCTGATTTTTCTTATTTAGATTCTGCACAGTGATTTTAATTACATTATTGAATGTATAATGTTCAGCATACTTTGTAAAAGCTATATATAATACTTTTTTCTTGTTGTCTGTTTAGAAAGCGTGTTAAAGTTTTCCTTATTGGAACGGTTGGAAATGATGGAGACAAGAATGTCATTTCAACCACATGAGTTATCAGTTTATCCTGTTGGAATTATCACTCAAGCGGTAATTTAACCTATTCTATATTTTTAACAATCTGCAGGTGTAGATTTTAGAAAACCTAACTGAAAATTATAACTATCTTTAAGAAAGAACTGTTTGTAATTATAGCAATGGATTTGCATTATTATTTTGGAGAATTTAATATGTGTTTAACTTTTGTATTGAGTAGGCCATTTAGGATGACTTAGCAAGAAAATGAGTTTAATGATTAGTCAATGAATTAACTAATTATCTAATATTTTTTGTTCAGCCTCTACTTTCACATGAAATAAACTTTAAATCTGTAAGGATTTTGTAGTTTATCATAAAACTGATCTGATCAAAACATTTTACATGTACAAAAACAGACAAGTTAGAATAAATGGCTTAGCTGTACAGAGATGGTATGTTGAAAACAAAGAGCCATGTTACATACAAATATAATGTAAAAGTGGGTAAGTTAAACAATAACAAATTTTGAAAACTTGTAACTGCCCCTCCTGTTTTATTATTGCAACTGGAACATGGATATAAAAATGGGGCCAACTTTTCCAATACGATACGTTACCTCCGCTCACATGGATAGCTATTCATTCTTCAGTGCTGCCCTCTATATGAAGAAATGTTTTAGCATGCCACAAGTCTTGTACTCCCATGTACCCCACAATAAACATTGTTCAACTGCGTCTCACAAGTAAATCATCATGTGACAACCCTCCACCAATAGGAGTGCGACACACTCTCCTGATTTATGTGACTCCCTCTATTCGATTGATCGAGTGCAGATGTTTTTCCAGTTGTGCTCTTTTCACATGTTCATTTAATTTTTTTTAGAAAGTAGTTATTTACTTCATTTATTAGTTAGTTTTCTGTGGTAGTTTGCCACAATAACTTACCATTGTTTATTGATTTTTTTTCTCGTTATCAACTTCATAATTTATGATGAATTCTGAAGTGTGTCTTACAACTTATGATATTTTTACCACTACTTCAAGTGCCATTGCACAGGTTTCAGATCTGGGGATCTCGACTGACAATTTTTTGTCAATCATTCATCAGAAGATTGATCATTATATGAGTCATCCTTCTTCTCCCGAAAATGTTCGGGTTCCTCCTGCATCATCTGAACTTGTTGGAATTTGACAACCTCTTTCCTCCTCCTAACTAGGCCATGCCTCCCATGCCTCTCCTATGGAATCTGCTAGGCCTAACTCTGCCTTTTTAGATGTACTATCCCATTTTTAGAGTACCTGGCCTGGTTTTCCTTCCTTTCTCTGACATTAGAATTCATGCTAAGCATTTTATTTCTTAGTTAAGGGCTGGTGTTATCATGCCTCATTCTTCATGAGCTTATGATCATTATGTTTTGGCTTATCAAGCCTTTCTCAATTCCCAGGAGTTGGAGTCACTTTTGCCAATGTGGGGAACTACACCTGAAAATCCTGTTCATTTCTCCCACACTGAGTTTCCTGCTTTTGTCTTACCCTTACATCTCCCCTACAGTACTTTTCCAGCATACACCTCCTTTCTGAAGCACTCCACTGATCCCCTGAGGGGTTTTGGGGGGATACTCTTTCCCACCTTATCGCCATGTTGGCATGATTGTCCTGTTTGGTCCTATCCCTTCACACATAGTTTTGTTGCTGTTGGGATCTTATTGGGAATGATGCTGTCTTATCACAGGTTCATCTACCTTCTACTTATCTTCGTGATTGACAGATGGCTCTATTTCTCCATCGGTCTGTTTTTGAGATTTTCCTGAATCTTTGGAATCCATGAGACCACTTTCAACCCTTCAGTCTTCGGTTGCTTGTTTGCCTCATTCTGATCCCGTGACCTCTCTCATAATTGTTTTTTGTCCTGCAACCACCATTTCCTTATTAGCTCCTATCACTTAGAGTTCAAAATTTTGCCATGCATCTCGGTGTCCGGTTCATCATTGCCAGCAGTTCCAGTTACTATCAGGTCTTTTTCTGTCCAGTGGGGGCACTTTTAGCCGATTTTGTTCCCCTGTGATGGTTATTCACTGCTGATTCTTCGGTGATCCAAGTTTCATCAGAAGGACTTTTCGTATGTTTCCTTTCCCCACCACTGTTGACTCCTGTACTGATTTTCTTCCCATTAACTTGGGACCCCGCTATCAGTCTGCATCTATCTAAGGCTGTGTAGACCCTTCTGTCACAGAGATCTATTGAACCTATCAGCCAGCCTTCTCCAAGTTTTTACTCCAAGCTTTTTGTTGTCCCCAAAACAAATCAGAGGATTGACATCCTTTGGTCCTTCTGTCCTACCTCAACCTATTTCTGGATCTTCCCCAATTTACCATGGAGTCCTTTATCACACTCAGGTGGGATTTTTCTCCAGGAATGTGGATGACCATGGTAGACGTCTCAAATGCCTATCTCCATATTCTAATTTCTCATCAGTTCAGAAACTATCTTAGGTTTGACCACTACAGGGTTGTGTATCAGTTTCATGCCTAGCCTTTCAGGCTTGATTCAGCTCCTTGTGTATTTTTTCAATTAATCAAGGCCTTTGCTCAACTTATGCTTGCTTGAGGGTTGCATTTACACCACTACATGGTTGAGTGTCTCCTCTTAGTTCATTCCATACTGGAATATTCTCAACACACACATCTGCTGCTATTAGATGCAGCTCATGTTAGTTGGAGAAATCTTTCCTTTTACCTACCCAATACCTTGTCCACTTGAGTGTATTTTTCAACACCCACCCCATTTGGGCCCAACTTTCTCCATTCAATGGAGTTTTCAGTTCTCCATGCACTTCCTGGTCCCTCTGTTTCTGCATTGGTGGTTAAACAAGGACAACACAACGATGGGAGTACTGCATCCTCCACCTTGTCAAGGTTTGCATCTGCTCACAGATGCTTCTCTCCAAGGTTGAGGAGCATGGGTACATCATCAGGAGGCCTCTCGACAATGGTCTCAGATCAAAATGTCTGACCATATCAACATCTAGGAGCTTCTGGCAATACAACATGCTTTGGTTCATTTTCTTCCTCTGGTACTGAACCGACATGTCATGCTACATTCCAACAATTCCATCATTGTGGCCTATATCAATCACTAAGGGGGAACTTGTTCCTGTTTCCTTTGTGGTCAAACATTAAAACTCCTTTATTGGACCCACATGTTCAGGGTGCTTTTAACCTTGTGGCAGATCATTTTTCAAAACCCGACCAGGTTTATCCCACAAAGTGATCTCTCGATCCTCAGGTTTACAGGTGGCTATGCAATCAGTGGAGTACTCCTCATCTGGATGCTTTTTCCACTTTAATTCAACACTAAGTTACCTCTTTTTTAGTCTCTGGTTCCTCATCCTCAGGTCCTGGCAGTGGATGTTCTTCATCAGGACTGGACCAACCAGTACCTTTTGTGTTCTTTCCAGTTTCATAGATCTCCTTTTCATGTTGTTCTTCCAGACTGTAATGTCAATATTGTTCTTCATTGCCTTCCACTGTCTCCATTTGAACTTTGCCCTCTTAGTCCATGTTTCACCTGTCCATTCAGATTTATTCCTACTCCTTTTAGTCTGTGGGTGTCATTGGTCTGAGATGTTTGCCATCAACGTTTCTTGTACTTTTTTCCATTCCATATATGTTCTCCTTTATCCTGGATCAATTTTTCCTACCCAAAACTTCGGTGGCTCGTGAGAGACATTCTTCCTTCTTACCAATTTCATTTCCCACCTTTTTCCCAGTCTAATCTGGATAGAGTTCTATGTCCAGTACATGCTCTTTGTTGTTACATTGCATGCACAGCCTCCTTTAGTTGTTCCTGTTCCCACCTTTTCATTCCCTGGCACCATTCATCTGTACACGACTTTTTTCTTCTACCCTCTCAAGTTGGGTTTGTCAACTGATTTGATTGGTCTATTTCTTCCCGAATTCTGTTCCAGATGTTGTCGCATGAGATCAGGCACCTCTATCATCCATTGGAGGAAATTCTTCAGTCAGTCTTGTACTGTTTCTGTTATTTTATTGAAACTTTTAAAGAGTGTTATAAGAGTTAATTTGTCTTTTGAATATTATTTCAAAATAATTGTGGCATTAACATGCCAGAGCTCTAATAGCTTTACAGTAATATAGTAGTTAGTGTAATTGTAAGATCATATTGTTTAACAGATAGTTGTAGGTTTTATGTTGGGATGTTACAGTTCTATGTAATTTACACAAGTATAAATGATATCATATGCTTGTATGCAGTTTTTTTAAGACATGTTTCAAGAGGTAATTTGAGAAATAAGCAAATAATGTGGAAGCTTTTTATTGTGTTTTAGAAAATGTAATATTAGATAATATAAAATGCTTTGTTTTGTAATTAAAGTGTAAAATAACTGTTTTAAGTGCATCTTAAGATTTACATTACATTCATTTTTTGATGAAAAGGTATGTTTCATAGTGGGAAAAAGAAACTTGTAGTTTAATCTTGTAAAAGTGTTATATATATCACAAAATGGAAAGTCAAAAATATACTAGTAAAAAGTAATTTAAGTTATGCAGCATAGACCGTAAAGTTTTAAGATATCTCATAACATCACAACTTTGTAAGTATATTGAGTTCGTAAATTTATTTAATCAGTTATTGAATGAACATTGAAAGAGAAACTTTAACAAAAAATCTTTTAACTTAAACTGATAGATTTAAGTAGAAGTAAAGTACATTCCTCTTTTTAAGAATCAAGGTTTTGTATATGCATAGAGCTCTCTGGTTCTGAGCTCTTTGATAGCATTTTATTCCAGATTGTTTGCCCTAAAGATGTGCCAATATGAATAATTGGTTGCTAGTATTAAGCCAATTATTTTTAAATTTTTCCTGCAGTTTTCTAATCCATTTATAAATAGTTATAAGCGAAGGTGCAACATAATTTATGTTGTGTATGTCTGACTTGATGCACACCATCTTCATAATCTTGGTGACTTCTAGGTCTGGAAAATTTAATTTCTGAATTTATTTATTTTAAAGTTGAAATTTTATTCAGGAACATGCCAGAATTCTTTGTAATTGTATAAAGATTTGATGAAAACGTTTTTATTTTATTTAATTAATTTTGGGATATTTTGTTTTTCATATAAAAGGGATATGTTAGTGCCTTAGTAAATTGAAAAAAACAAAATAGCATAGTGAGTAACAGGGCAGAAATCTAAATATTTGCTCTGTTACTATTGATGGGGTTACTGTAAACAATGCCCAAACATAAGGCTATCAGATTAGTGATTTGACATAAAGAATAGATAGAATAATTACAAAAGAAAATCAATAATGAGTTTATTCAACACTGTTACAGGAAGGAGCTTCCTTGAATGGAAATAAACCTTTATAGCAATATACTGTATCTACCTTACCTTTAGCAGATCTATACTAATCCTTACTATCATTTTGAAACTGAGTCATATAATGTGCAGTTATATAACAATGATATGTTACTATTCATTATGCAGGGGTTTGATGTGTAAAACAAAAGCCAGAAACTAAAATAGCATGCAAATTATTTTTTGTTAATCAGTTCTCATTCAAATTTCATTCATTGGAAAGCTTATGTATATTTTTTAGTAATCAGCTGAGTATAATCAGTTGATTTTATGGCTAATAAACTAATTGATCAGTTCATCCCTGTTTTATAAGCATATCGTTATGGTAATATTGCAACTAGCTTTCCCAACTTAGCTAACAAACTCGTGTTATTTCCTAGTTTTTAAGATTACAAATTGTATTAAAGAAATTTGAACTCATATTTTAAGTAGAAATATTCTAAATATTGTTGTGCATTTACTAATATTTGTCAGATATTTCAGTCTTTTATCGGTGCGTACAGAATATATTTGTCTAGCACATGCTTTCTATTTAACTTACTCCATATGATTTATCAGGTATTTAAGGTGTAATTGTTGTTATACAATGTCAAGTAATTTTATTTCATTTCATGATGAACTTACACCTATTGTATAGGACTGCAGTGAAAAACAAAGAAGCTTTGAAGACAGATTAGTTGTTTTGTGTCAACGGCTTCTTGGTGGAAGTTGGATCCATGGGAATGACACTAATGCTCTAGAAGCCACTTCTCGGTCTGATCTCACTTTACTTCATTTGGCAGCAGCTCTTGGTTACAGTCGACTTGTCTGTACCTTACTACATTGGAGAACTGAGAACCCATCACTTATTCTTGAGTCTGAAGTTGATGCTCTTAGTCGAGACAAAAACAAATGTACACCTCTAGTAAGTCTCTTGTGTCTCAGTTGTTTGTGGGAAATAATTTTTGGAAGAAATATTAATACTTGTTATAAAATCATATTAGACAAGAAAACACAACTATTACTCTAAACTTCTGAAAAACTTCAGCTTCTCTCAGGCAATTGAATAGAAATCCTTCATCAAGATGATTCAGTTCTTAATCAAAGCTTCCTCAGTTGGTAAAAGAGAAAGAGAATAGTATGTACATTAATTTTTGAATTGTTTAAACAGAAGTCATGAGGGATAGAGGATGTTTAATATATATAAAGGGGACCATCCTTTTTAAATATTTATGTTAGGATTTTGTATTGTTTTAAGTAATGCTTCCTTAATTTTTCTTTTGTGCTTGTTCAGTTCTCTACACGATATTTTTTGTCATAACTTATTTTATGGGTAAGTTTTTTTGTGTGTTCATTTACATGTGATAGTCCTTTTAAATATTAATTATATCTTTTTAGATTTGTACTAGTTTCATCAATATATACCAACTGCTAATTTTCTCAATTAATTTGATAGATAAAATCATCGGTGTACTCTTCATTGTTGTAGGGTATGTTTAGTAAATCATTTAATTTTAGTTCAAGTTTTTGTATGATTTTTGTTTCATTGTCTATGTTGTGATTTGTGAGAGTTTCTTCCATGTTATTATAAGATGTATTCCTCTGTTTCCTACATATGGGATAATTTTTATCATTTGGTTATTTTTTATTTCTTTATTATCTTCTACATTTTGTTTGTTGTTGGTGAATGTTATTTTATGGTTTTCTTCTTTTAGTGATTGATCAATCTGGTAAACTATTAAACTTTTAAAGCAAGTTGAAACATAATTTATTTCTTCTCCTATTTGTCTGAGTGAATAAAGTCAGAAAATACTGTTGTTAAGCCTTTGAATATAACTACTTTTTTTTTGGTGTCATGTGTTGATTGCCAGTTGATGCATTTTCTATTGTGTGTTTATAATCAATGTGAAGTTGTGAAATATTTAAATTGAGGAAGTTTGTTGTTTCTTTCATCTTTTTTTTTCTTCAGTTGTAAACTTTGTGTTAGGATGGAAACAATTAATGTGTTTTAAAGAAGTAGTTTTGTTCATCTTGATTATCAAGACTACATTATATATCATACATATATCTGCATGATGGGAATAAGGCTGTTTATATAACTTTTGTTTCTATAGAAATCTTAAATAAATTTGCTAGTTTGGGTGATAGAAGGTTTCCCACTCTAATTCAGATTTGTTATGTAAAATTTTCCAAATAGTTGATTACTGAAAAATCAATGTTTTTCATTCTGTTGAATTAAGATGTGTTTTTTGGTTTTGATTTAGCTTTTTATCACTGTATTAATGGTTTCATAGGCTGGTATTTGTGGAAACATTAAAATTACATTGAAGACTTGTAGTTTTTTATAAATATTTATAAAGGGTGTCCCCTTTACCTTTATTGAATAGCCTCTATCACAAGCAACTTCTGTTTAAACAACTCAGAAGTCAATGTAAGTTGTGTTCTCTTTCTCTTTTATCAACTGAGAAAGCTTTGCTAAAGAAGTGAAATATCTTGGTTTAGAATTTCTTTCTCAGTTACTTGAGAGAAGCTGAAATTTTTTAGAAGTTTAGAGAAATACTTGGGTTCCCTCGTCAAATATATTCAATATTAAGAATGAAAATATAGTTTATACATATACATCTTGAGGAAGTACTTTTATTTAATTTCACCAGAAGTTGAAATTAGTAGTAAAAAACAAACTTCCTTTAAAACATTTTGTAGATGCAAACCCATTGCTTCTAGAGAAAGTTTGGTTGTGGCATTTTTTAATCTAAAACAAATGTGATCAAAATCTAGCTTAAAGTATTTAACAGAGGTGCACTCACAGACACACCTTGATTATTTATCTTATAAATTTAGCCATGTTATTAAATAAAATAATGTATGTGCTGCTGTGAAGGACTTATATTTGCTTTGTAGTGTTCCTTCACTGCCTTCTAGCATTTTAAGTGAAAGTCAGTCTAATATCAAAACCAAATGTATTTCCATTATTAATAAGCAATTAAAAATTCCATTATGTCCTTTGAGTGAACTTAATTCATGAATGTAGATTTGTGCTTTAATGTCTGCAAAATGATAACAGTATAGTTAATTTAGGTATAAAGTTTACAATATAGTATAATAATAGTAATGTTTTTCATTTTATTTTTCCACATAGTTGTGGGCCTGTGCTAAGGGTCACAAAGAAGTTGCATTATTGTTGTACCAATGGAATTCACTAGCACTCAAGATTCAGGACAGTAGTGGTAGTGACCCTTTAACTGTGGCCAAACAAAAGGGCCACATTGAGCTAGCAGATCAAATAGAACACTTAGAACAAGCTAGACATTCCCACGATAGCACACCAGAGTGAGTATCTCTCCTACAATAACTTTCACCTGTCTCATTATTTTATTTTGTTTAGAGGTTCTGTTATTTTCTTCCACTTCTTCATACTAGATCATGGATAAACATATTGATAGTGATAGCTTTTTCTGTTTTACAGGTTCAGCCCTGAACAGCATTCTGTTGTGGAAAATCATTCCAAAGCCACAAATTTTAACTTCTCTACTAGCCCAACTCTGAATGAATCATCACCAATAAGTACCAGCCCTGGTTTAACACTTTACTCATCTCTGTCATTACCTGTCCTGAGTCCTTTATCAACTGGCAAATCTTCTAATCAATATGATGCCTTGACAAAACAGTCTTCTACAGATGGTTGTTCCAATGTCCCAATAATGACTTCAGCTGAGATTATGTCTAAATCAACAATGTGTAATAAGGAAACTTACAAAACACCACAGTTACCTTGCACTGATCGGAGTTTATCTTTACCACTAACTAGTTCACCTATTTTGATCACGTCTACGATTACAGAAGAAAGCTGTATTTCTTCACCTGGTATAATTGATACAGGTACATTTCAGACCTGTAGAAGCACATTCGTGCATTTTCTATATTGAAGTTTTTTATTTGATTTGTTTGTTTGTTTGTAGTTAAGCACAAAGTACACAAAGGACTATCTGTGCTCTGCCCACCATGGGTATCGAAATCTGTTTCTAGTGTTGTAAGTCCACAGACATACCGCTGTGCCGCTTGTTATTTGAGCTCTACTGTTAAAACAAACCTTGATAATAATATAACAATATTAAATATCCACCAAGACTCACAATGCAAGAACTAAATTTTAATTTGTTTTCAGGTTAACATTTACTTACAAGTTCATTTACCCCTTATTGTCATTACAGGTATAGGATTTCCAAATCCTGGTTGTGACTAAAAAGTACTTTTAGTTTAATTGAAACTGTATAGATTGCAGATTAGAAAATTTCTGTTCCTGTGAAATAGCATCTGTTGTGATGTAAGACTGGTCATAGGTGGCATACATACATTTAGAATACATCTTTTGTGTTACTTTTTTATTTTATGGTGATATGTTTTTTTTTCAATTAAGTATATATATATATATATATATTTTATAGAATCATATTAACTTCTCACTACCTACTTAGATCAAAATTAAAAAGTAACCTGTTAATGAGTAAAGCTGATTAAATATACTTTTGTTACATTCTCACTACAAAGGTTAGAATGCATTGTTTCATCAGCTGATTTTCCTTGCTGTTAACAATATTTTAAGCCATAAACCCAATAATACTCCATAAGGTTAGCCAGCTTAGGAATTTTAGATTAGTAATAAAACTATATACTAATCTAAGAATGCAAAACAATTTCTATAATTAAAGTATAATAACAAGAAAATAAATATAATAAACTAGATATATTAAATATTCCAACCAATACTGTCGATGAAAGTAACATTAATCAATGAATAGAGTATACTGCATGAATTTTAATATAAATCCCTAACTGTAATTGTCACGATGATAGGCAAAACAAAATTTCTAGAGCTAACAAATACTAAGTCTTCCACTCCTATTCCTGTATTTTCTTTATTTTATTTGTTCTATTAACTTACTATAATATGGAATGCCTCATATTTCTCATATATTTGTGTCATAAGGATTAGGAATGATAAATCATTTCATATTGTACCATTTGTAAACCATGTGATAATCAAAACCTGACAATTAACTTTACAGTTTCCATATCTCTTTGATTTCTGCATATTTGAGTGCCACATATTTGAATATCTATACACTGACTGTGTAGAGAGGGAAAAGCTGTATTAGTTACTGTTTATCAGATTATTGTTTTTATTCTACTGTAAAATGTATCATAAGGATCTCCTTTGTTGGTCAAATCTTTATTATAGCATGACAAGTGATTGTGCTTTATGAATATAAAAAGATGCCTTAACTCTTTCAGCATGGGCTCAGTCCCTGGGACCGACCTTGTAACCATTTTGTGCTTGTTATAGTTTTCATGCTATAACTTTTTAATTAGTAAGTGAATGTTAACGAAATATGTCAGATTATCAGTAAACATTATATATGTATATAGAATATTGCTATTTTGAAATAAGTTCTTAAACTTTAAGTTTCTTAAAACATAGAACAGTAACTAAAGAAGTAAAGCAAACAATTATCTCTTCTAGTTATGATCTTTGTACTCGGTTGC